TATATATGTTTATACACTTATATATATATATATATATATGTTTATACACTTGTCTAAATTAATAAACTCCTGGATAAAATCTTTATCTGCACACAAATTCAATTCACAATTCAAAAAAGTTCAAACCACACCACTAAAGCAACATCATTTTTTATAAAGTTATACTGTTAAGGCAGATTATTATAGCTTCCTATCACATTGCGAAAAGAGATATGCAATTGCAGACCTAATCTATAATTTCAAATTTAATAGTAACTTGGAAAATAGATGTGGTCTTTCTGATTTGCAAAACTGTAAGTGTTGTTTTTTTGATACTTCAGACTTGTGGCTTGATGTTGATGAAAGAGGAAATTTTATATGAAAGAAAGCTTGCCTTAGATCAAGATTAGTTGTAAATTTGTTTTCTTTGTCTCTTGCATTCTAAATATATCCAATTATATTGCAAGAATGTCATCACTCTTTACATTATTTCACATAACTTTTTATTTGATAATTATAAGTATTTTGGACAATATATATATATATATATATATATATATATATATATATATATATATATATATATATATATATACATATATATATACAAATAGTATTGCGTACTAAGGTAAGCAATCTGACGTCATACTGAAATAGCCTGCTGCTGGGGGCTTCAGTACATACATCAACTGACAAAGAGTGAGCTACATCGACTGAGGGTTTGGGATGGGAAAAAAAAAAGCAATTTTTTATTCATCATTCTTCATTTTTTCTTCTTCTTTTTCGAAAAAAACGGTATAGATTAAGGTAAGCAGAAAAAGTGAGCAAATGCTTATCAAAACACACTTTAGTAAGTGTATATATATATATATATATATATACATATACAATATATATATATATATATATATATATATATATATATAGTCACATTTATGAGTTTTCAAATAAATAAATAAAGTGCATAGCTTATTAATTGTCCAAAATACTTATAATTGTCAAATAAAAAGTATATATATATATATATATATATATATATATATATATATATATATATATATATATATTTACATATATATATTTATATTTATATATATATATATATATATATATATATATATATATATATATATATATATATATATATATATATATATATATATATATATATATATATATATATATATATATATTTATATATATATATATATATATTTATATATATATATATATATATATTTGTATATATAAATATATATATATTTATATATACAAATATATATATACAAATACAGACTTGGCCAAGAAAGATGCGAAAACAAGCCTTTTTATGACCATGCAAATAATATTTTGTTTGGACAATTTGACCATGGTTTTTGACAGTTTATAAATGCACTGAAAAAAATGGTTTTAATTACGTTAAAAATAAATACCTTCAACGCATTTATCTTCACTAACATTTTTATATTAGCAAAGTGGTTTTAAAAGTAACTAATGATTTTAATTAAAGTATCAATGAAAGCTGTATAAATTTTTATTTATCACCTATAACTAATGTTTAATTTAACGCTGCTGCTGTTATTTATTCGTGCAAAATGGACACTATAAGATTTAGCATGCTAGGCCTTTAAATATTTCTCTTTATATTTTTACCTACGCAATATGGTCCTTAAATCTGTATAATTTTGTAATATCATGTATAATATCTGTATAATTGTAAATAAGATCTAAAACTTTTATATTAGATAATTTTCTGTAGTAAAAGATATTTCAAAATAATAAAAGTTATTTTTTAAATTAGTTTAGTAACTAAAGTATAGTAAAGCCAGGTAATTTATTTAACTCAAACGTTTATGGAAGTAAGGTTGTATTTGTAAATGTTCCTAATGTATATACTTTTCTTAATTTATTTAAGTATTTTTATGTGTTTTGATTGGGTAATGTGTATTATTTATTATATGTGTTTAAGCTATATGCGTTTATATTTATAAGTGTTTATGTGTCAATATTAGTTATATAGAGTGTTTCTATGTGTGCTTTGTTTTATAATGTTATGTGTTTCTATTTTGTAAGTGATTATTATGTTGTTTTTGTGGCTTCAAAGTGTTGTGACTTGGCTTAGTTTATAATAAAAGTGTTGTCCTTGCTAGCCAAGTGGTGTACATTGCTAAAATGTGAATTGACATTGTTGAGAGAAAGAATGTCCTACTTGCCAGCCAAGTGGTGTACTTTCATGAAGAAACCCATTATAAAATTTGTTTGTAGTTAATGTAATCATAAAATGTGTAATTTATAATTAGATAACACATTTTAATAAAAAGGAGAAACATCTGCTAAAGTAAATAAGTGATTTGCAGTATTTTAAGGTTATTATAAAAATAAAACTTTAGAATTTCATGTTACTTTTTATTTTGGCATTTAGAAAATTGAAAAAGGGGCCCACAATAGAAATGTGGGCCCCTTATTCAAATCATAAAATCACAACAAAATTACACTGTTTTAAATGTTTTTGGTGAATTTTAAAGGATTTAAAAAATAAAAAATTTTCTCATTAAAATTTTGTTTACTAGCTTTTTTTTTAAATAAAAGTTAGAATACAAAATGTTATAAAGTTTGATAAAGTTGATGTTAATCTTAAAAAGCCTTGGTTTTCACACAACCAAATTCTATGTAACAGGATCCAGAATCATGTCATTTGATAAATTGTTTTTTAAAATTTGATAAACATGCATTTCAAGGTAAGTCATTGAACAAATAATACAAATAATTATTTTTAATAAGTTTTAATAAGTATTTTTATCTGTCATATGACGGGTTAAGATGTATTTTTATTATGCGTTAATGTGTTATATTAGGTTATACAAATTTATATTTTGTAAATGTTTATGAAGGTGCTTCTATGTGCGTGCTGTTAGTAGTTAAAATATTTACAATAAACTCTGGATAACTTGATAACCAATAATAACTTGAACTAATTTTGAAACTCCAGTTAAGCATTCAAAGCTAACATTCTCTAACAAGCTTATATCTTAGTCCTTTGGAGGTTTGAGTTATTGAGAGTTTACTGTAATATGTTAAGCTATTTATTAATTTTTGTTAATGTTATTATTGTAATTTTTTGTGTTGATAGATATCTTGGCTTAACTTAAAGTTGATGTCTATCATTAAAAATAATTATTAGGTCGTTTTATTACGGAAACTGACTAGATGCAATCATTCAATAAAAGCCAAGGATTCATATTTTAAATGAAAACACACTTTTATCTTATTGGGATTATTTCTTTTTAGCACTGCTTTTTCAAAGAGTATATAATCCAAACTTGCAATAAAAATCTTGAAACTGAAAAAAAAACAAGATCTCTTAAAGTAAGATTCTTATTTATTATCTATTTAGTCACATTTATGAGTTTTCAAATAAATAAATAGAGTGCATAGCTTATTAATTTGTAGTTAAGGTGTAATAAATGTTTCCAATAATAATTATTAATAATAATTAGGTCGAATTCCTATTCTTATGACTGATTTTTGAAAGTTTTCCTACATAGAATAATTTATAAAATCTTTTACATTGAAATCTTCTTATAGAAATCTTCTACGTAGAAATCTTCTATATAGAAAAAATTAAAAAATCTTCTGTAGATTGATTGTTTTCTAAAAGCTAAAACAAAGTTTCGTTAATTTTACTAAGTATTTACTAAGAGCTATATAATAAAACAACGTTATTATTTAAATAGCTTTTATAAGTACTTTTGATATTTTTTTATGTTAAATATATTTTTTGTTAGCTTTTTATGTTAAATATATATTTTTTTCAAAGTTCATTTTTATTTTATCTCAAGAAAAATGTTTTTTGTTTCACACATAAATATTTATATTTTTTCTCTTTGGAATTATTATCTTGTATGAATATATTGGCCAGTTTTGCTTTGTTTATATTATATTTCTGTTATATTTTTATATATGCATTGAAACCATTTACACTTTTAACACCTTTGGTGTTTATGATCCAGATTATTTCTATTTGCTATAATTATTGATTTTCAGCACAAACAATAGCTATAATAATAATTTTTCTTATAAAGATTTATTTGCATCATTTAGGATAAGTTTTCTTATAGTTAAGTTAAGAATTTTTTAATGCATTTTTAAAATGTATACAAACTTTCAAAACATTGTAACAGGCAAGGTAAAGTTTTCAAATTATGTATTATATCGTTAGTATATAAGGGAAATGTACAAAGTACATTTTTGGCAGTATGGAGTTATTTATACCACCATTTAGTATTTTAAATTCTCTATCATTTGATATACCACACAAATTTAATAAACCAATTATCAATGAGCTATTAAGAGTTTTTATTTAAACTATTACACATCAATTTATCATTTTAACTATTACGTAAAAACTTATTTGTTCATTATCACAAAATGATGTTTTTGGACTTGTATACCGATGATACAATGTATATTATATTGTAACTAAAAATGCATAAAAGTAAACCTTACCTCTTTGGCTTCTCCTCTTAACAAATTTCTTACTACTTTACCAAATTTGGAGACTTTAGATGAAATTTGGAGAAACAGATTTAAAATTTTTAAATATTTTTAATTAAAAAAATTCAAAACTTTTAAATACTTTTTAATTAAAAAAATTAATATAATTACCTGAAGTTTTTTCTTCATAAAATGAAGGTTCCATTGCTGAACTAAACAACCCAAATTCATTTATATGACCAAGGGCTAATCTACTAAAATAAATTTTAAATATAACAATACAGAAACTTGTTTAGCCTAAAAATAAAATATATATATATATATACATATATATATATATATATATATATATATATATATATATATATATATATATATATATATATATATATATATATATATATATATATATATATATATATATATATATATATATATATATATATATATATATATATATATTTATATATATATATATTTTGTTTTTAAAACTTAACCACACAATTTGTTTTGACAACTCTAGGCGTTTCAAAATGTGCTGAAATTAAAAAGATAAATTACCTATCAAAAAGAAAATCTTAAATAAAATCTTAAAAAAAAAATCTAGGCTCAAAAAACTAAAATTTGAAAAGGAAAATATATTTATATTATATTTTTTTAAAAACTACTATATTATGCAAAATGCTTCGCAAAATATTAAATACATAAATTATTACATAAATATGTTAAATACATAAACTATGTAATTAAATACATAATTAAATATGTAATAAAAATGTATAATAAAAATTTCAAAGAGCTAATGTTCAAGGAAAAAAATGGACAAATAAGAATTTTTGGAGCACTTAGGAGCATACACAGTGAAAGTATGAAACTTAATTAAATGTTGAGTAACAGGATAATGAATTTTAGTAGATGGCACAAGATTTTTAGAATTTAAGCAGATAGAAGTAATGATAATGTTAAAAATAAAATCAACGGTAAAAGAATCTTTCCTTCTGAATTTAAAATATCTTGGAATTATCAAATGATTCAATTAAATAAAAAACTCTCTCGAGCCAATAGTATGTTATCTTTAATACGATACTATGTTCCTAAACATACTCTAGTATCATTTTACTATTCCATGTTCTCATCCCATCTAAGCTCATTCCATGTTCTCATCCCATCTAATTGTTGCGTTGTTTGGGGGCAACAAGGAAGTTTTCTATTAAATCGTATAAACAGTTTGCAACGAGCTTCGATAAGAATTATGACATTTTCTCCTATTCAATCTAATATCCAAAAAAGGTTTTTTGAATTAAAAATCTTACAATTTCAAGATCTAATAAAGCTTTACAACTGTCTTTTTGTGTTTGATTTCCTCCAAAATAATCTGCCAGGTTTGTTTAACAATTTTTTCATTAAAGCAAGTGATACACATAAATACTATACTCGTATTACTATAAATGGTAATTTGCACCCTTCTTTTTTCAATACTGTCAAGTATGGCAAGCTCTCCATAAAACATCAATGTATTTCTCACTGAACCAATTAATACCTTTTATAAAAAAAAAGATTTTAACTAAATACCCTTTTGTTACTAACTTTCTTCTTCTTCTCAATAGAAACCTAATTAAGAAATTTTTATGTGAGCAAATATCTAAAGAATATTAATGCTATCTTTTATTATTATTCCTTCAATATATTATTTAATTAACTACACTTATTATTTTTTTTTTTTTAATTGTTATTATTATTCTTTACACTGTTACTACTACTATTTTTATTATTGTTATTATTATTATTATTATTATTATTATTATTATTATTATTATTATTATTATTATTATTATTTATATATCTTTGTTTTTGTTGCCTTAATATTATTACCTATATTGAGAGTCAAAGCAGTTCAGTAGTTGCAGTAGCTTTATTATTATTGTTATAACTATTCTTTAAACTGTTTATTTTATAATTATTAACTATACTACAATTATCTTACTATTGCTTTATCAATTATAATTCTTTTTACGTTGTTATATTGCAGATATTATTTTTTATATTATTTTTATTCATATTGTTACTATTATTATTTTTATAAATATTATTACTTTTAACTTTCTTTTCCTTTTTTTTTTTTTTTTTTTTTTTTTATTAAATCTTCTTTATTGCTATTGTTGCTTATCTCTCTTTCCTTTTTTCTTTTTTTTAGGTGTCATTAAGTCATTGACTAGTTTTCCATTGACTCCATTGACATAAATAAGGTTAGGTGGTTTAAAGTTTCCATAGACTCCATTGACATAAATAAGGTTAGGTGTCACTCATATAGTTTTCAACTATATGAGTGACACCTAACCTTATTTATGTAAATTTATAATTTATCATTGTAAATTTTTATTATTTATGGTTAAAAAAATAAAGAAAAAAAAAAAAAAAAAAAAAAGAAGTAGTACGATGGATATTAGAAGAATGGATGATAGTAAAATGGATAGCTGAAAAAATTTTAGTAGATGGCACATGCTAGCTCTTTAGAGCAGCACTCATTATATTATTTAAAGAAAAGAGAAAGAGAAGCAACATTAATACAATGTTGAAGGTTGCCTGCAAGAGTAGGTCTAACTATGTTTACAATGCATTTTCGCACCTTGTATAAAAGAGAAAATTGTCATTCAAAGATCCGCTCTAGAAATGGTAACAGTATTCTATAAATAGACAGATATTTATATAAAGAATAAAATCGGGAGTAAGAAAATGATGAGCACAATAAGGAGATGTAACCTAAGCAGATCCTAATTTTGCAATGTTTTGATATATATCCAATATTGCAATGTTTTGATATATATCCAAGAAAGATCAGAAGTAATAGTTAATCCTAGAAGACAAAGAGTAGATAACTCACCGAAGACATTAACATTCATAAATATAGGAGTTTTATCCTAGTTAAAGTTCACCAGTTACCGAGAGCCCCATTCTGGAAAAGAAGCGAGATCCTTTTTAAGCTCAAATGCTCCTCCATGCAATCAGAGAGTGTTGGCTTCTAACCAAGGCAATAATAAATGGTAGTATCATCAGCAAACAATGCCATCTTAGATGTGACAATTACCGGAGATTGTTAATGTAAATTAAAAAAGTATAGGGCCAAGCATAGAACTTTGAGGAACCTCTGAAATTACAGGAAATGAAGAGTGCTGTACATCGAGGGCAATTTTAATACTACTATTGGTAAAGAAGGATTTATTAATCTTAAAAATGTTACCTGATATATCATAAGAAGAGAGATTATGGAAAAGACCAGCATGCCAAACTTTATCAAAAGCTTAAAAAATATCGAGAGCAAAAGCCTTAACCTCTCCTCATCTATCTAATGCATGATAAAACCTATCAGTTATTACTGTTAACAAAGCAGTGGAACAAGAAGTTCGAAAATCATATTGCTGATCAGAAAGTAGGTTGATAGACTAAAGTTAAGAAATTGTTTCTTAATTTAAAACATTTACATCACAATGTTAACTGATTAATGCGCAAATGTAAATGTATATGTAGTACAAATCCATTTCAGTTGCAATCTCCTGTGTATCAGATGCAGACGTGCTTTTATAGCATCATGTGCTGTGTTTATATTTTTTGTAGTTTAACACTTAGTAATAATTTTTAATTTTGTGTTTAAATAATCTGTTTGAACATTTTTCATTGGTTGACTTCATTGGTTAAAAAAAGAATCTTTACCACATAAAAAATTGGTAAAAGCTTTCATTATTGCTAAAATATTTTTTAAGTTACCATAAAGAGTGAAACAGGGTACATCCGATAGAAGAAAACTGAGTTATGAGACAAATCGAACACGAAACAAAAGAAAAGATGTAATAACTATAATTATAAGTATAATATTGTTGAAAATGCTGAATGTTGATGTTGACAATGTATTTTGCTATATCTTACAGTTGGAAATTTAACTCTTAACAATGCTGTAATAATTCTACTCTTAACAATGCTGTAATAAAAGTCAGCTGGATATATTACCACTCCATTCAACTTTTAATAAAAGTTGAATTTTTTTTTTATTATTATTACTATTTTTTTTTAAACACAACTTTGATTATATTTAAACACAAGTTTTGTGCAGTATATACTTATTTTACACAAGTTAGACTTGTGAAGTAGTTCTTAATTTACATAAGTTGGACTTGTGCAATAGTTCTTATTTTACACAATTGCACAAATGAGACTTGTGTCAAATATGATAAAAAAAATTATCAAAAAAAAATTTCTACCTTCCATGATGACAAGGCTTTAAACCAAAGTCAATAACATTTTCACAAGCCAAATTGTTCTTTGAATCTGAAGAGGTAGTTAAACTTTCATCAGTAGAAAGGGAACTTAGACTAGAGAAACTTTTTAAATCATAGTTTTGCAATGAGTTGGTTAAGTGATCAAAATATTTTTTGTAATTCGCACTTTGAAGAAACATTGGGAGATAAACCTTAAATTTAAAGTAAAAATATAAAAAAATATATGAAACTTAAAACCCTATTATATGCATCAATCAACCAACCCATCATCACGCACATCAGAAAGAGCTGTCCAAGCATATGCCATTGGTATACAAAAACAATTGCTTTGAGGTCCTTCTTCACGACATATGTTATTCTCCAAAACAATTCTTAATTTGTCATCCTTTATTAACTGCTGTTTGCACTTCATTGAAAAATATCTACAAAATTTATAATTGCCTTCCAACAAAAATTAAACCAGAAAATAAAAAACTAAAAAGCAAACAAACAAACAAACAAACAAATAAAAACCTTTCATATAAAAAAATAGCATCATTAATAACTTCATTTTTGTTATATGTAAAGTTTGAAAGTTTTTCATTGACATCATCTTCAAAATGTTCAGCAGTAAAATAAAACTCTAGTGTTGAACGTCCACCATATTGATCAAGATACTAAAAGCAAAAACTACTGTGATCAATAAAGTTGTTTTATTTTTCTAAAAAGAAACTGATTACAAAGAAATTTTAATTTAAAGTATCAATTTTATATTTCAAAAATATAAATTATTGAAATAAAAAATTATTCAAAAACTGCAGCATGTTTATGGCATACATTGCTTTTAAAGAATTAAAGGTGAATTACAGCATATGTGGTATACAAAATCTTTGGTGTATACTGATAGCTTAATGAATAATTATGCTTAAACGCAAATATTTACACACTCAAACCTGTATTGATGCCAGAGTAAAAAAAAGTATTTTTCTTACACGTTTTCTTAATAATTTTGAGTCATATGAAAAATATGAAGCAAGTTGAGCGCAGTAATCAAACCCAGAAATTCCTGCGTACAAGGCAAGCGCTCTACAACTGCACTGCTAACACATGTAACTAAAAGTCTTCAAATTTGGTATTTAAAATATATTTAGTAAAAATAACTTCAACCTAAAAAGAAATATTTATTTTTTGATTGATTTATTTAGTCTACTCTAGCACTTCAGGGACTATTTTATCCCATAAAACTCTGGTTAATTGACTCAGTTAATAAAAAAAGTTAATAAAAAAATGCAATCCATATCTTTTGACCTTGGAGTCCGTAGTTGATTTTTGACCTTGGAGTCTTAGAGACCCTAAAAATTGATAGGCTACCAAAACATATTTTATATTTTATTAATTAAAAAAATATTTTTAAATACAAATTTGCAAAGTACTAGATTTAATATTTTATTACAAAAACTAAGGAAAAATTTTAATAACAAAAAAGATGTGAGACCTCAGTAAAGTAGAATAAAATAGAATCATTATAAAGCACATCTTTTAAATGCAGTTTTCTTTCTTGTAGAAATCGCAACTGATATGCAATCATATTAGTGGTTAATACAAACTCATCATAAGAACTAAAAATAAAATTGAAAAAAATTATCACAAAAAAAAAATTTTTAATTTGTAACTAAGAACTTCATTCTGATACTCATGCTTACCTCAAAAGTTGTTCAAATATAAACTTTTACCTCAAAAGTTGTTCAAATATAAACTCTTGGGCATTTACAAAGCAGCTTGGCTCCAAATAGTTGTTATATTCACAAACAGCCGCTAAATTGTATGTATATCATATGTATACATGAAATGTATTATACTTTTATCATATGTATATATTATGAATTCTTTTTTTTTTTTAATCAGCATTTACTTTTATTAAATTGCACACTAAAAAATAAATACTTTTATTAAATTGCGTACTAAATATAATAAATTATTTTAAAAAAATAAATAAAAATTTTGATAAATTTTAATTTTAATAAAGAAAATACTTATTTTTATATAAAAAATATGTATTCTTTTATGATGTAAAAAAATAAATTAAAAAAAGATCTTTAGCATTTAATTTTTATTCATGACATTATTGATGCACATTAAATCATTGGTGATGCAGCTGTAATATATGAAAATTGTCTGATGCCTTTCATCAATTTTAACTTTATATATATACAAATTGTTTTTATTTATCTAACATTTAATAAAAATTAATTGATATTTAAAAAAAATTATGTAAAAAATACAAAAAATGACTTTTAATGCCACTTAATTTTCAGTATAAACAAATAAAAATTTCCCCTGAGAAACATTACTTTTAGTATCTACCAATAAAAGTTTCTGCTGAAAAACTTTTATTTGTAGATACTATTTAGATTTTATCATAAAATATTTGTTTTGACAAAAAAGTTAACAACTTCCATACTTTCAAAAAAAAAAAATTATATATTTTTAATTTATATGCATAATATATTAAATTTATAACAAATATATATATTTATTATACCTCATTAATAAAAATAGATTATCAATATAAACACAATATGTTAATTTCTAGTTAAAATTATTTTTAAATATATAAAAATACCTTCAATGTTTTGACGACATTGTTGAGGCAAATATATATAATTGTCAGCGTTGAGTGATATGTATTTATTATAAATTGATACAGCATCCACAATACAACCTATAAAATGTATTGTTATTGATGACATGTCTATTTTTTAAATTAGCAAATTTATAAAAGTTATAAAAGTATACCTAACATTAATTGTTTCTTTTCACAAGTGTATTTAATTTCTTTGGAAAGAAAACTAATGGATCTCAAAATAATCATAAATACACAGAATAAGCAAACTTTACAATTAATGCATGCTGTTTCCAAATCAACAACAAATTTTTTAAACTTTCATCATAATAGCCATAGCAATAAATGAGGTAGTGGTGTAGTAGTAGAGCGCTCGCTTCATAAGCGAGAGGTTCGAAGTTCGATTCCCACCACGTCCCTGGTAGTACCGTGCTCAACTTGTTTCTCCGCACAACGGCCTTGTTCGTCAAGGTTTGTGTTTCGGAGTTATAGAGTTGAGAGAGGGTTATAACCACAAGTAGCCTCCCCATCTGTAGTGGCCTTCGCGGCCTTGGGGAGGTGAATTACAAAAAAAAAAAAAATAATAATATATTAAGATTACAAAATGCAAAACAATTTAATAGAAAAAAGACATGTTTCTAGTTTGACAACAGTTAAGTTCCAGTTACTTGGCTTTCATGAACTAAAAAATGAATTTTTTTATCATATGGAAAACAGCTTCACACCAAAAAACACAACAGTTCTTTATTTGTTTATTTGTAAATTATAAAATAAAACTCATAATGGTAACTCTAGATTAAAACAAATAACTATCATTACCTGTTTTACAAATTTAACTTAGCAATAATTAAAAGTGATGATTTTTTGAAAGACCAGTAGCAAAAAAAAAAAATTAATTTTTCAAATTTTGTAAAAAGTGTCTTTTGAACCTAACTTTATATATATATATATATATATATATATATATATATATATATATATATATATATATATATATATATATATATATATATATATATATATATATATATATATATATATATATATATATATATATATATATATATATATATATATATATATATATATATATATATATATATATATATATATATATATATATATATATATATATATATATATATAAATATATATATATATATATATATATATATATATATATATATATATATATATATATATATATATATATATATATGTATTACATCAACAAATTTATATTTTTAATAACAAATTTATTTAAATTCATCAACTACATTAGTTTGTTAATTGGCTCGACATATATATATATATATATATATATATATATATATATATATATATATGTATGTATTACATCAACAAATTTATATTTTTAATAATAAATTTATTTAAATTCATCAACTACATTAGTTTGTTAATTGGCTCGACATATATATATATATATATATATATATATATATATATATATATATATATATATATATATATATTATATATATATGTATGTATTACATCAACAAATTTATATTTTTAATAATAAATTTATTTAAATTCATCAACTACATTAGTTTGTTAATTGGCTCGACACGCTTATTATTTATCTCTAGACTTTCAAACAATTTTATTATAAAAAATTTTTTAAAATAGTATTCCAAACTTACTTCTAGTTCTCATTCGAAAATCTTGATTTTCTGTTTTTAGAGAGTCAGAATGATGAAAATCATGATTCCTGGATGATTGTATCTTATATGCAATTTCTGTATTTTCATTTATAAAATTGTTCAAACAAGCATCATTATTACTTTTATTTTCTTCAGTAAGTTCTTTTTCGCAACACCTCATGTGATCCATAATTTCCTCAGTTTTAATATCAAAACTTATTTCTTTTTTTAAACCAACAGAACTTTTTTTTATTGCATCTATTTCATAACACTTTCTATGATCCAGAATTTCTTCAGTTTTACTATCATAATTTATTTCTTTTTTTAAACCAATAGAACTTTTTTTTAATGCATCTCGTTGACTGCGTTTATATTGACTTTCTAAAACCATTCTGAAAGTCTCTGCTTCTAACCAAAAATCTAATAGATTTTTTTTACCATGTTCATTAAGAAAGTCTAAAAAATAACCTAATGCTACAGATTTTTTCAAAACATCAAGTAAAGAAGGTGAAAGTCGTGAAGATTTACTAGATGATAAACGAGGCTAAAATAATTTTATCATTTTTTAAATATTTTTTTCCAATTATTATAACAAATATAATTTTTTTCTAATTACTTATAACAATTATATAAATATATATATATATATATATATATATATATATATATATATATATATATATATATATATATATATATATATATATATATATATATACATATATATATATATATATATATATATATATATATATATATATATATATATATATATATACATATATATATATATATATATATATATATATATATATATATATATATATATATATATATATATATATATATATATATATATATATATATATATATATATATATATGTATATATATATATATATATATATATATATATATACACATACATAATGATAATAATAATATATACAAGTATTTCAGGGAGGCATGTACATACTTTGTTTTCCACATTTAAAGTACTTTTTTTAGACAACTTGACTATCCTTATATCAGGCTTGGTCAGGAAGCGGGTGCGATCGCACTCAATAATTGACCACGTAAATAATATGTAGTTGCAAAAAACCGGCCAGATATTTAGTCGTTTTGAGAACATTTTAAAAACAAACAAAAAAGTTTAACTAGACCGATGAGAGACAGTTAAAAAAAGAAAAATAGCTTTTAACGCGAAAAAACTTTAAGCAAAATAAATACTATTAGAGCAAATATTTTTGAAACGTCGCTCTTTTATAATTTTTTATGTAAAATTAAGTGACATTTTTTACATAAAGTAGCAACTTACTATTAATGATTGTTTTTATAAGGAAACAAATGTTCTCCGATTTATCAAAGAGTATATATAATTTTTATTTATACACTTATGTCTTATTTCAAGTGCTGGATTTAGGAGGGGGGGGAGTAGAAGGGCAATAGCCTCGGGACTCACAATATTAAGGGCCGCGAAATAGTCAAGAGGACCATTAGGTATTTTTTTCAGTCATTTTTACGTTGTGGCACATAAAAAAGGCCACCAAAATAATGCAGTCCCCAGCCCTGAAAAGTCCAACAAGATTCAACCAATAAAACTAACGCTACATGATTTATTTATAAATAAAAAAAAAATTTCAATAACTGTTTTATGCTTCGTGTAGTTTGAAAAGTTTAACACATTTGAAACAATTTTTCTTAGTAAGATAAGCAAATGAAATAATTAAATCATTGAGTTACTGAAGAAATTCAATTAACTAAATTAACTAAAAACGTTAAATTACTGTGAGGAGGAAGCGGAACTGCTTCACAATACCGCTGATGTTTAGTGAGTGGGCTTTATAATTTTAATTAGTATTTAAAACAGAAAAAAGTAACTTTAAGTTTAAGTATAACGAGTTTGTAAGAATGGCTGAAGCAAAAATAATTAAAGTTAGTAAACCAATTTCTAAGAACTTAAAACCTTTCTTTCTTGGGGGAAAGAATCAGATGTCGGGTACACTGAGATAAATGGATTAGAGGTTAAAATTATTTGTATTAATTTTGATAATTATTAATAATTTCTTTGAAAACGCAGTTAATAATGAAAGTATTTTTGTTTGCAAAATCAATCGCACAAATTGCTTTAAAAGATTACATTTGAATAAAATACACATACATAAAATTACATGTATAAAAAATACATACATAAAAATACAATACATACATAAAAAATACATTACATACATAAGAATATACGTTGACAAGTTAAAAAAGATAAATTTAAATCATTTATTTTTGTAAACAAATAATGTTAGTTTAAAACATTTATAGTTTTGTAGATGTAGCTCCAAGAATTAAAATAATAGTTCGATTAATAGAATTAAAATAATTGTTTGATTGATATTGATTCTTAAAACAATTTATGCTAGAAATCCCAACAAAAACATAACAAAACTCAAATAATACAATTTTTTAAAATATTTTAACAGAATACTCTAGAAATTTCGGTTAGTATTTTTTGAACCAATAGAATTAGTTGTTCATAGATTTAAAGGGTTTTTCGTATTTTTTTTATTTTCCCGCACAAGATGTTTGAGAACATTTGAGTTTATGTATGTTTCCATGTATGTCCGTAAACAAAATATTTCAAAATTTACGATAAAACAATGGACTTAATTAAATGTTCTCAAAACGGTTAAAATATCTGGCCGGTTTTTCGCAACTAAATACTTTTTCCGTGGTCAGTTATCCAGTGCAATCCCACCCGCTTCCCGACCAAGCCTGTTGCATATAGTAAGCGTTTTAAGAATGAGGCAAAAAAAAAGACTACAAGAAACTAAAAAGAATAAAACAGCAATATTCAAAGAAAAGAAACGAATACTATACAAAGTAGAAAATCTAAATAAAATAAAATAAAAATAAATTGAATATTATAAAAAGAAAAATTTTGTCAAAAAAATAATATACTTAAATATACTTATAACATACTTAAATAAGTACATAAAAAAGCAGATAAGTAAGTAACAAAAATAAAATATATTTTGATATACAATTTATTCACGACTTCTGTCAGTCAGTATAATAAGGAAACACTTGGCACTAGAATATTTGTTTGCACTAGAAATAAGGACAATTTTGAAATTAATTTTTTAAATGTTTTTGACAAACTTTACTGTTTTTATCAATACACAGGTAAGCAAGAAAACTAATTGCTATTTATTTGTAAAATAAAATTTTAATTTTTTAACAAGCTTTTCATGTAAAAAAACAAAATAAACATTAATCTTCAGATAATATATTTAAATGTAAAATATTTTGTTGTTTTTACATTGTGTGAAATTGTAAACTATTTTATTCAGAAAAAGATCTCTACAAAATATTTGAAAAATATTTGCAAAAATTTTGTTCATTAATCAATTGAGACCATAGAAGTTAAATTTGCTATATTTTATTATAGTCTCTATTTCATACTACCCTGTTTAACATTTTCTATTGGTATTTTCACTTTAATGTTTTCACATTTCCCTCATTGAAATAGCCTGTACTTTGGTTGATTTTCCAAATAGTGCATTTAAATCTGTTTATTTCCTGATGAACTATTGTTATTGACGATGCTCTAATGACCTTTTTTTTAATACATTTTTTCAAACAGAGCGATTGTTATGTTCATTATCTCTAGTTATTTGTATTAACATTGGAAATTGAGCAATATAAAGGAAACAATTTCAGGCATCAAATGTAAAAAACACATTTATAAAAGAAACCATGTAATTTTTTTATTTAACTTATTTTTTATAATTCCCATCAATACAAAATTTATAAAACAAATATATATTATACAAATAGATAGCAAACAAATAAATTCATTTTCTTATTTTCCTATTATACAAATATTAAGAAAAAATGTCAAGTATAGCAAAAGCATATTTAAAAAGCGAAAAAGACTAAAAAACAAATAAACATAAAAAAAAAATTAACAAAAGAAGTTCTCATAGTTCTAGCGTACATGGCATATGCTTAATTTTATGGGCTGATAAAAATTGTGAATAAATTGCATATCAAAACTTTCAATTCCTGTTAAATTATTACTTAATTTAATGCTTTTTTCTTCAACTACAAGTTGACAAAAGCTAAATTCAGTAAACTAAAAATAACAACCACCTTAAAAAATTTTATTTTTTAAAATTATTAAATTTTTTAAGTTTATTTAATTAAAATTTGATATTTCATTACAATTTTGTTTCCTTTTTTAAAATTTATTTATTTTCTCATTTTATAAGTTTAACTTTTTGATGCAAATTAATGCTTAAAAAGTTAAAAGATGCAAAAGATGCAGAGACTCTGGGCTAGTGCATATTAAAAATAAAAAAATTTATACAAGTTATTTTTTAATTGAAACGCTTAAAAAGTTAAAAGATGCAAACTGCCTTGGTCAGTATGTTTAAAAAAAATACTTGAAACATTGACGAACAAGGCATGCGACCGAACAAGTTTCCTGAGAAAGCTTGTATTATATATATATATATATATATATATATATATATATATATATATATATATATATATATATATATATATATATATATATGTATATATATATATATATATATATATATATATATATATATATATATATACATATATATATATATATATATATATATATATATATATATATATATACAGGGTTTGAAATAAGCGCCGGATATCGGACATTGTCCAGCACTTGTCCGGTAAAAAATGATATCTATCGGTCATTTTGTCTAACATATTTTTATATTATTAGTTATTAATAAATTCAGTATTGTATATAAACTTTATTTTTTGAACTTCTTATATTTATACAAAACGAAATTTAAGTAGAACACGCGATTAGTTAATAAAATATGTCATTTTATTGGCGTTAATTCTTTTTAAAAGACGTCAAAGCATTACACTGAATTAAGTAGCCCTGTTTTTATCATTCATATTAAAACATTGCAATTAGTTACAAATTTAAGTTTATAGTTTAGCATTTATTTTGTTTTTTGTCTGATGGTATTTATAAATTTCAAACAAACATTTTAGCTTTTAAAACCTCTTTTAAATTTTGTTTTATAAAAATGTTAACGTAATAGATCTTTAAATAGTTTAATAGTTATGCTTATAGAAACCAGTACTTTTTATTACACTATTAAATTTGAGTTGTTATGCAACTTTTATTTTCGCGCCAGAAAAATTCGCTATTAAAAGTGTTATAAAATTAATCCTAGAAAAGGTTTGAAAAGATTTATAAAAAAATACATACTTATATAAATGTAATTACATATAATATTCTTTGATAATTTAAATAAAATGGGTTTATTTTACACATTATAACTAATTTTTACTTTATTTAATAAAGTATTATAGTTTTTACATATTTACATAGTAATTTATGTATTTCATAACTTTGTATTTTTATTATACATTTTTATTGCATATTTAATTATGTAGAGTAAAACAGGGTAAAATGTAATAGCGAGTAGAACAATACAATTATGACAATGTTTATTCTTCCGCTTTTAATTAACTACTGAATAATTTTTTTGTATATATTCTTGATTATATTGTAGAGAGTATTTTTCTGAGTAAGATTTTATAAAATTTTATTTTTAATTAAAAAAATTTTGTTATAAAATTATAAGTTTTCGAATGCGTAATAAGATTTTTTTTATTTGTTTTTGAAAAGGGAACTTAAAACTCTCGGAAATTAAATTCGGTATCATTGAACTTAAAATGTTTACTGATACAACTTTTTACGCTGATTAAGTATCTTTTTTCAAAATTAAATTAGCTATTTAGAAAAAAAAAGTTTTGAGTTAAAAACGGAAACTGAGTGTTGCGGAGTTAAATGAAATACGCTAATAAATAAATAAATACAAAGCAATAGCTTATTTCTTAAAAGCCGCTTTTTTTATTAGGTCTCAAGTGACCAATAAATCTCCAACTATAAATTTTTTGTATAAATTTCAATGAACGAGTTTTTCGAACTGAATTTAAATAACTTTAAAAAACATTTTGCTGCCGAAAATAATAACCACTATGAAGAAACAAAAATTAAAACAGTACACAAATTATTTAAATTATTGTTATTATTATTAACGGTAATGACCAAATTATCTAAAACGGCACGCCTTTCCTGGAAAAGCTTGGTTATTATTGATTGTTTTTTAATAGTTATTATTAATTGCTTTTTTGTTTTTTTAGTAAAGTGTTGTTTTAATTACACTTATATTTGCTTATTTCATTCTCCCCGAATGTCAGTGTAGAATGGAATAATTTTTTTTAATTAAATAAAGTTTTATAAAAAAACTTTACAAAAAAACTGTTAAAATTTTATATATTTAAATACAGCTCAATATTCTCTACAACTTTAAAAAAAAAAAAAGCAAAAAATTATTTTTCCGTAAAAAATTAATAATTAAAATCTTTCCATTTCCAAAAAACTATTCCATTTGGCCCCATTTAACTCTATTTTTAATAATTACATAGTTTATAAATTTACATAATATTTATTTATTTAATAACTTACCAAGCATTTCGCATAGTACTGTATTTTAAAAAAATGTAATATAAATATATTTTCTATTTCAATTTTGAGCTTTGATTTTTATTTTTATTTTAGTTTTTTGAGCTTTTTCTTTTTGTTAGATAATTTATCTTACATATTTACATTTTATTTTCAGCGTATTTCAGTTGTCAAAATATTGTATAAAAACTAAATATTTTATGCATGTTCAGGAATGGTATTTGATCGTATTTCTTTAATATTTATCAGACATGTCCGGCAAACTTTAGTCTTTATCGGACAAATTGTCCGATAGAAAAACGTTCATTATTTCAAGCCCTGAATATATATATATATATATATATATATATATATATATATATATATATATATATATATATATATATATATATATATATATATATTTCTTATTTTATTTATTTAATAAAATTAAAAATTAATTATATTAATGGTTTATAATTAAATAATTGTTATGTAATCAAAAAACTATCAAAGTTTATGAAAGCAAAACTATTGTCAAACTTTTAAACAAATTCCTTTCTCTTCAAGAAGTTCTTTTAAATCAAATGTAAAAGTCTCATCTAAAAAAAATTAAAAAAAAAAAATTCATCTATATATATAAATATATATATGTATATATATATATATATATATATATATATATATATATATATATATATATATACATATATATATATATATATATATATATATATATATAAATTTATATATATATGTATATATAAATATATATATATATATGTATATATGTACATATATATATATATATATATATATATATATATATATATATATATATATATATATATATATATATATATATATATATATATATATATATATATATATATATATTTATATACATAAATATAGATATATATTTGCATATATAAATATAAATTTTTATTAAACTAACTTTTTTTATTACAATATTAATTAACAGAAAACAAATGTGTTGATAGTTAATAGGGCTGTTTCATTTTGCTTTTTAACTAGTTTCAGAAGATAGTTTCTTCTGAATTGGAAAGTGTTTGCAAATTAAATGTATTTATATCAATTATATTATTTATTTAATTATACTTTATTTATGTAGTTTATTTTGGTACTTTATTTATGTAGTTTATTTTGGTACTTTATTTTGGCAGAAAAAGATTGTCCCAAAAATGAACAACCTTAATCTGCCTAAATATTTATATAAAAATTGTGATAACATATTTCCAAAGAATGATTTAAATATTAGTACATTTCCTCCGACAAATGGTCTAATTTGTCGGAGGAAACGTACTAATATTTAAATCATTCTTTGGAAATATGTTATCACAATTTTTATTCAAATATTTAGGCAGATTAAGGTTGTTCATTTTTGGGACAATCTTTTTCTGCCAAAATAAAGTACCAAAATAAACTACATAAATAAAGTACCAAAATAAACTACATAAATAAAGTATAATTAAATAAATAATATAATTAATATAAATACATTTAATTTAAAGTTCCTTGCATCTGTTAGTTTTATAAGTTTGCCAACATCTTGTAAAAAGCAACGGTACACAATATCAACTAATATGGAACAGAAAGTAATTATTAACAAAAAATAGCAAAAATTTTCTTCAGTACATGTGTATCATTTAAAATTCTGAAAATCAACATTTTATTAAAATGATCAATTTATTGAGACTTGAATATAACTCATCTAACCGTAAAATATTTGGAAGAGAGGTCTTTGAAAAAATTTATGATGAAGTGACCAACAAAATGATGGATCAGCTTACCCAAGAAAAGAAAACAACAATTATGTTGAAAACAAACAATTATGGATGAAGTAATGATACTAATGATCTGATTATTGCTCACAGTGCATATGACAGACTTGAGCCTAAACTTTTATACATAACTTAATACTTAATTCAAGTAAAAGTTTAAGATAACTATTAAGTTTTTTTTTACGGTTGTGTGAATGAAGAGCATTCCCATGAATGAATGAAGTGTATTTCCAAATTAACTGTATAAAAACATACATGAAAAAACTACTAAATTTATGTAGAAATCATAGATAATCATGATATAAAGGGAAAATAATAAAATTAATTATATTGATTAAATAAATAAAAAAATTTTCCAGATGCAAAAATGACGGCTGTCACCTGATCGAATATATTGAGTTGCTCTTCAACACTGAACTTTATAAATTCAAAAACTAACAAAATTTAACAAAAATTTAACAAAAATTAACAAATTGGCATTCCTTTAAAAATAATAATATTAAATAAAATCAGGTAGTTTGATGGTTGAAATTTTTTTTTAATTTCAAAATCTTTTTCAAAAAATATTAAAAAAATTTAAACTGAATACTTAATACTATGAAATGCTACTACAACAATTATTCATGTAACATAAACAATATAAACAAAAAAAAGTCCATATGCAACTGATATTTTTAAATTAGTTAAAAAATAATTTACAAATGGCGTTAAAAGCTACATGAAATATAAATGAAAAGATTAAATAAAAAACAAACAAAGTACATTTTGAAGAGAAATTGTTCTTAGTTACACCCTTAGTTACACCCAATTTCAAAAAATAATAAAAGAACATCAATCTAGCTAATTAAAAGAAGAATTAAAAGAAAAATGATTGTACATCTTATATCCTCATTAAAATCATTTTAAAATAATATTATTAGCAATATTATTAACTCTCATGAGCAGTTACTATTTAAACTGAATACTTAATACTAAGAAGACATTTATTTTACGAAACACTACTATAAAAACTACTGTTACAGGCTTTGTTTTAGAGCACAATTTACGTATGCGCTTAGCCATGTAACTTACAAGCCTTCCTAGGAAATGCGTGCGGTTTTTCATCTGGTATGACCACATGCGAGTTTTTTATTTTAGACAATTTGATCAGGGCCGTTTGCAAGTTTTATAATAATCATTGTAGCAAAAATTGCAAAAACAAGAAAACCAAAACTAACAAAGTAGAAAAAAGAAAGAAATTTAAATAGAAAAAAAGAAATTAATAATTAAAAAAATTTGTGTACTGTTTTTATTTTTGTTTCTTTAGAGTGGTTGTTACATTCAGCAACTAAATTAGATAACTTGAAACAAAAAAATTAAAAAAACAGTTTTAAGTCTACAATAAAAAGAATGATTATTCGAAAAAGTTATAAAAAATAAAACAATAAACTTACAACTACAAAAGTTTTAACACTTGTAACTAACTGTAATATAAAAGTAAGAACACTATGATAGTGTTATTACTTTTATAATGCTTTTTTTTACTCTAATTAATGTTAGGAATTACTAATGTTGTTTGAACAAAGAATGAACTTTAAAAGTAATAAGTGTTTTATAAAACTAATAACACTATTATAGTTTTATTATTTTTATAATACAGTTAGTATTATTACATATTATTTAAATTATTGCTATTATTATTTTCTATTCAAATTTATTTTAATATCCTATTTTTGTATTTTACATTCTTTGTTTTTGAAACTTTTTTCACTAACACATATAATAAAACTTGCAAACAACCGTGACCAAGTTGTCTAAAATAAAATACTCATGTATGGACATACAAGATGAAAAACCGCACACATTTCCTGAGAAGGCTTGACTTAAATCATAAACCATTTCATGTAAGCCATTTTTTATCATTTTCTCCAATGCTTTTATTAACTTGCCATCTCTGTCTGTTTGTTTGTCTGTGAGCATTAAATCTTGCAATCAATTTTTAAGTCACTACCTGATGATAAATTTTCTTCAAATATTGCATACATACTCTTGCTTGATGACAATACAATATTCAATAATTAGTTTTGTAATAAGTTAATTAATTTAGTTAATTTTTATTAAGTTTATTTTTTTGAAGGAAAAAAAAGATAAAAATTTTATAAATAAGTATATTGATTGTTTTCATACTTAGACGAGAGTTTAACATATTTGGATTTTCACTTTCAATTGTCAAACTTGTTTTGTTATAATGATTGATTTTATCAACAACAACAAAAAAAACATTATTATTTAAAAACTTTGGCATATAAAATTTGCCGAATGGTCACACACGAGCAGTGAACGCCTGAGGGAAGAAATGAAGTACATTAGAATAAAGGAGAATTATTTATTAGACAAAGCATATTTTGACAGTTGTCAAGACAAAAATAAAGATTAATAGAGGAATATTTAAAAATAAATAAGACAGGCTATACAACCAAAATAGTACTCAACAATAATAACAATAAAAAAAAAATTAAAAAAAATTGTTTTATAAATACCAATATGAACTAAAATATACAATAAATACATAACTAGTCAAAAATTTGTAAAACAAAAAACCATTCAACAAATTAAAAATATGCTAACAACAATGAAAGGACTAATAATGGAAAAAAAAGATTAAGTAATAAACATCTCCTCAGAGTCGCGTCTATTATTACTGGCGTTTTGATGAGGATCAGCATTTATAACTAGTTTATCCCGTCAGACAAACGTCATCGCCACGTATGCTTTACCCCGCGACTTACGCCTGTTCTATATTGCAGTAAAAAAAGGACTCACTTCAAATAGCCAAAACCCAACCAACCCCAAATTTGTAAAGCACCAATATTTTTTTTGATGATATGATATAAAAAGTATAGATTTACTGAACAAACAAAAATAAAAATAACTAAATAAAACATTTACCGTACCACCAAAAGAAAACATGAAAACAAAATAAATTAAACTTGTAATAGAAACATAAAAATATTAATCAATTTATTTTAAGAAATAAAACCAAATAGGTAATATTAGCATAAACAAACCCAAGATAATCAGAAAGCAGTATACCTCATTAAAATTTTTTTTTAATAAACAAAACAATACCCTTAAATAAACTCTAATGCTGTCATAGATACCTAATTCGAAATATGATAACCAATCAAAAGTGTAGGAAAATGAGTAACCCGCGAAACCCAAAATCATAACAATAATAGAATAATATATGATAGCGAAAAAGAACGTTGCACAAAAACCTTAAAAATGTAAGCGACATATATGTAAACATTAAATGAAGGATATAAAAATATTCTCTGAATAATAATAAAGATGAAAATTGTGCATGTGAAAATTAAAACAAAGCTGAGTAATGAATGCAAGATAATAACATGAAAGCTTCTGTAAACAGTAATAATATGAAAATCAGGAGATAAGTAATATATTAATAAATATAGCAATAAGACTAACTAAATATTGTAATAAAACCAGATAATTTTAAGCCAAATGAGTGGTTAAAAAAGTTGTGGGTAATATAACAATGATATAAATCATGATATAAAAACGATGTAGAAAGCGGGAAAAAAAAATTGTTAAAAAGTGAAGTTTTCTCTATGGTCCAAACTAAAAGAAACTTTGAGACCATATCTAAATCGAAATTTCCGAAAAGTAAAGTTTTCTCTACGGTCCGAATTAAAAGTAATTTTGAGACCATATCTTAATCGAAATTTCTGAAAAATAAAGTTTTCTCTAAAGTCTGAATTAAATGTAACTTTGAGACCATAACAAAATAAC